CTGTGGTCTCTGCTGGCTCACTGCTGTGTCAAAGGGCCTGCACACAATAGGAGCTCAATAAGTGTTGGTGAAATACACTAATGCAGGAATCAGCAACCTCCCCAGGGCCCACGGAGCTCGACAAAGACAGAGAGCAGGCCTGTGTCCCCAGCGCCCTGCACTGGGCCCGCACACAGTAGGTGCTCAAAAATTGCAGAAATTTACTGAGCACCTACTGTGTGCCAAGCCATGTGCTAGGTCCTGGAAACACAGCTGACCAACACAGACCTGTCCCCTGCCCTCTCAGCTATCCCAGCCCCCACGGGAGAGAGAAACCACAAACTTAACAAAATGAACAAGAATATTTCTGAGAATCAAAGAACCGAGGCAATGAATTAGTCCGTATGGACGAGAACCCAGTAAACAACGTCCAGCTCTTTCTCCTGCCCCTGCAGGTCCTTGCTTGGCTATGTGATCTTGGACAAGTGACTTCACCTCTCTGAGCCTCAGCTTCCTCATCTGTAAATTACAGATAACGATGGTACCCAGCTCCTGGGGCTGTTGGTTGGTGTGGTTTTTGGATAGTTGCCTTCAAATCAAGTCAGTTCCAACTTATGGTGATCGCAAGTGTGTCAGAGCAGAGCTATGCTCCATAGGGTTTTCAAGGCTGTGACCTTTCAGAAGCAGATCACCAGGCCTTTCTTCTGAGGTACCCCCAGGTGGGTTCGAACCACCAACCCTTCGGCTAGTAGTCAAGTGCTCAAGCATTTGTGCCACCCAGCCCTGGCCTCCTGAGGCTGTTAAGAAGATAAATAAGCTTGCCTGGGGTGTAAAGTCCTCATCCCAGGGCTGGGGGACCCTATAAACAGACCCTCAGCCTGTTGGGGGGCTGTCAAAATGATCATTCTTTGCAGGTGAGCTGGGGTGGCAAGGGGCATGTAGGAATCAGGGTTCCAGACCAGAAGTCACTGGGTCCATTGTACAGATGGGGAGAACGAAGTCCAGAGAAGGGTCCCACAGTGTCTCAGGGGTGAAGAGGGGGTGAACCTGGCTCTTCGGACCTGGGGCAGGTGAAGGGTTGCTGGCAGAATTCTTTCTTTTAAATTGTGCTTTAGGGGAAAGTTTACAGCTCAAGTTAGTTTCTCATACAAACATTTATACACACATTGTTATGTGACCCTAGTTGCTATCCCTGCAATGTGACCACACATTCCTCCTTTCCACCCCGGATTTCCCGTATCCATTCAACCAGCTCGTATCCCTTTCTGCTTTCTTATTGTGTCTCCAGACAGGAGCTGCTGGCAGAATTCTTCTCTAGCCGCGTTAAGGAACAGGAGCGGGTTCTCTGAAATGAAACACGTCCCAAACGTGCCAACTTCCCCCCTCCTCTGTCTCTACCTGGTCCAGCTCCATCACCGCCCACCTGGTCCCCGGCTCCGGTCCTCGCTCCCCACAGTCTGTTCCATCGGCAGCCGCCAGAGGGCGCCCATGAGCACCTGACTCAGGGCCCGCCCCGCCCCAGGGCTCCCACCTCCCTCCGGTGAAAGCCCTGAAAGCCCGAGTCCTCCCCACGGCCCGCAGGGCCCTGCGCGACCTGCCCCAGCCACCGTGAAGTTCTCCTTCCTGACACACGGCGACACTCGCCGGGTCACCTCACCCTGGTTATTCCTTCAGAAGTCTCTTCCATTTCTAAAATTATCTTGCTTCCTCATTTCATGGCTGATGTGCTGTCCCCCTCCACCCTCCCCCCCGACTAAAATGAGAACAAGGGACAGATTACATCTGTCTTAGCCCCTGCTGCATCCCAGTGTCTGGAACAATCCCTGGCACACAGTAGGCACTCAATACATGTTGGTCAAATGAACAAATGGCCAGTTCACTGCAATTGTCCAGTCATTCGCAATTTGCAACTGGCTCCTCGTCCGCTAACCTAAAGGTTGGTGGTTTGAATCCACCCAGTGGCACGCACAAGAAAGGTCTGGAGATCTGATTCCATAAAGTTTACAGCCAAGAAAACTCTACAGGGCAGTTCTACTCTGTAACACATGGGGTCGCCATGAGTGGGAATCAGCTTCACGCCAGCGGGTTTGGGTGTTTTGGTTTTCTTGTCTCAGTGGTCAGAGACCCTCTGTCTCTATGACCCCTCGTCCGCCACCCTGGAATCTAATCTCCCCTAGGTTTCACTTTACCAAGACCCAGAGCAGAGCCCAGGCGAGGTCTGAGTCAGCGATGAAAATAGTCAGCGAGCACAATTGCCTGGGTGACTCATGCCAGGCCCACCCAGCAAAGGAGGAAAAGGCAGGCAAAGTTAATGTTCAAATCACTTCCTGGTCAGAAGGAGCTGGCAGCTTCCGGCTCAGCAGGCCCTAACTAGCTCCCTCCCCTTACTCCCTCACAACCTCTGAAACTTCCCAAAGGTTAACTGATTGAACTGTGACCTCCCTACTTCCAACCTGTGTACCTTTGGAAACCAGAATTCACTTCTTTATACCCGACTTCCCCATCTGTCAAATGTGCCCAATAATAGAAGCTTCTTCCTCAAAGGGCCACGCGAATGATTAAGATGTGCTCATATCGTGAGCGGCCAATATAAGATACTCCTCTGATCTCATCCTGTCTGGAGCAAGGGAGAGTGAAGAAAACCAAAGACACAAGGGAAAGATTAGTCCAAAGGACTCATGGACCACAACTCCCACGGCCTCCACCAGACTGAGTCCAGCACAACTAGATGGTGCCCGGCTACCACCACTGACTGCTCGGACAGGGATCACAACAGAGGGTCCCGGACGGAGCTGGAGAAAATGTAGAACAAAATTCTATCTCACAAAAAAAGACCAGACTTACTGGCCTGACAGAGACTGGAGAAACCCCAAGAGTACGGCCCCCGGAAACCATTTTGCTCAATAATGAAGTCACTCCCGAGGTTCACCCTTTAGCCAAAGATTAGACAGCTCCGTAAAACTAAACAAGACTAATGGGGCACACCAGCCCAGGGACAAGGACTAGAAGGCAGGAGGGGACAGGAAAGCTGGCAATAGGGAACCGGAGGTCAAGAAGGGAGAGTGTTGACATGTGGTAGGGTTGTTAACCATTGTTATAAAACGATCTGTGTACTAACTGTTTAATGAGAAACTATTTGTTCTGTAAACCTTCATCTAAAGTGCAATAAAAAAAAATTTAAAAAAAAATTCTAACAAAAAAAGACCCGACTTACTGGCGTGACACAGACTGGAGAAACCCCAAGAGTATGGTCCCCGGACACCCTTTTAGCTAAAAAGTAACGAAGCCACTTCTGTCGTTCACCCTTCAGCCAAAGATTAGACAGGGCCATAAAACAAAACGAGACTAAAGGGCCGCACCAGCCCAGGGGCAAGGACTACAAGGCAGGAGGGGACAGGAGAGCTGGTAATGGGAAACCCAAGGTCGAGAAGGGAGAGTGTTGAGATGTCGTGAGGTTGGTAACCAATGTCACAAAACAATGTGTACTAATGGTTTAATGAGAAACTATTTGTTCTATAAACCTTCATCTAAAGTACAATTAAAAAAAAAACAAGAAGAAAAAGATGTGCTTATATATTTAAAGCATCACGAATCAGCAAATATTAAGGGCTCGTTAAATGCTATCATCTCATATTCTTGACTTTTGTTTTTGTTGTGGAGTGCCATTGAGGGGATTCTGTCTCATAGCGACCCCATGTGACAGAGTAGAACCTCCCCATAGAGTTTTCTTGGCTGTAATCTTTACGGGAGCAGACCACCAGGTCTTTCTCCCTTGGAGCCTCGGTGGGGTGGCAGGGGAGGGTTCGAATCACCAGCCTTCCCGTTGGCAGCCAAGCACTTAACCATTGTGCCACCGGGGATCCTTTCAATAAATGTTAACTATTCTTATTCTCAAAACGTCTGTGACCTGGAACAGATGACTCCTTGGGACATGCACACTGAATGAGCATTTATGCTGTACCTAGTGTTTGTGTGTTAACGCACGTGATCTGCTGATGACCTTGAAACCACCAGAACCAGTTGCTCTGAACTGACCCCAACTCATGGTTACCCCCATGAGTGTCGGGGTAGAACTGTGCTCCACAGGGTTTTCAATGGCTCATTTTTCAGAAGCAGATCGCCAGGCCTTTCTTCTCAGGCACCTCTGGGAGGGCCTGAACTGCCAACCATTGGGTTAGCAGCCAAGCACTCAGGGATTCTGACCCTGAAGCACTGGCGCGTAAACCCACTTTTCAGCTGAGAAAACTGAGGTTCAGAGGAGGCACTCATCCAACGACACACAGTGGCACCTGAACTCGCCTTTGATGGTGGAGTTCCAAAGTGCCTTCCCATCAAGGCCCACCCCGAAGGAAAAGGGTTGTAGCCCAAACTACTACTCTGTCTACCACTAACACTAAAAGCAAGGCACATGGCCCCCTCCCAGAAGACTACACTTCCCAGTCTCCCTTGCAGTTGGGCAGAGTACCATGTGACTACATTCTGACCAATGGGATGAGAGAACACTCCAGTGAGCAACTTCAGGTTCGTGCCCCTTAAAGGAGGTGAACTTCTGTCTTCTGGCTCCCTCTGCAAAAACAGCACTCCGCTTTTTTCTTGACAAATAGCGGGGCAAAGTCTGCCCAAGGACAATGTGGCCAGAGAACCATTCAATAAATATTTATTATAATTAAAAGACCATACCAATATCCCCTAGTCCACCCTCCCCCCACCATTTCCCAAAAGACCTTTCACCTAAAGAGTGAGCTAATTTGTAAACATCAAGTCTCATTCCGGCCTTTCTGAAGGCCACAAAGTCATCGGCACACTTCTGCACTATTTCCCGGCCACTGAGGGACTCCCCGGCCATGTCCTGAAGGTTACTGATAACCCCACCTCCCACTGGCCCCCCCAAGGGGTGAGGGCATGGGAAAAGGGGGTGGCAAACGGGGGTCTCAGGTACAGCCCAAAGCCCATGCCAGGGTCCAGGTGTGTCCATGGGTCAGTGACCCCACAGGATGAGGTCATCAATCCTGGGCACTCGGTCATTCTGCTTCTTGGGTCTTGTCCTCAGGGGCCTGGGCTCCACTCTGCCCCCACATCTGGTTGTTGAGCCCCAGCTGGACCATCTGAGCATGGTGGATGATGAGGGGCTGCAGCCCAGGGCTCTGAGGGGGCCCAGGGAAGGCTGGCAGGAAGGCGGAGGGCTGCGGGAAGGCAGGTGGAGGGGTGCCAGCCAGCCACGGAGACAGGGGTGGCTGAGGGTAGCCTGGCCAGGTAGGCAAGGGCGGCTGGAACCCCAGGGGCACCTGCCCGCAAAAGGGCATCTGAGCCCCGGGGGGCATTTGAGTCCCGAGAGACATCTGAGTTCTCAAAGTCGCATGCAGCTTCTCCATCTGCGCCTGCCAGGCCAGGTAGCTCTGCCAGTAGGCAGAGCAGGCAACGTTCATCTCTGCCACCTGCTGTCGCTCACCGTCCAAGCGCTGGCTGTGCTCCCGGACGGCCCGGACCTCCTGCTCCTTCTTCCAGTTTGCCTTGCGCTCCTGCAGCTTCTGCCTCTTGAAGGTGTTTTTCACCTTCCTTTCGAAGAGCTGGGAGTGTTCGTCCAAGCACACGAGGCTGGAAAGCAGCCTGGACACGTCGGAGCTGAGCTGGGACGTCTCCAGGGGCTGGAAGGGGATGACGGAGTCCTGCCAGCCGCGCCGCACGAAGCTGCTCATCAGGGCCTGAGTCACCTGGTGTAGGCTCAGGCGGCAGTCAAAGTTGGGAGTGAGCAGCAGAATGGTGAAGGCTGAGTGGTCTATGGCGTCTTGCAGGCAGTTCAGCTCGCCGCACCCAGGCACCTGGAAGTCCTCACAGAAGGTGGCCCCATCCGGCACGCCCAGCTGCTCGAGCCTCTCGCGGACACGCAGGGCCACGTGCTCATCGGCCCTGGCGTGGAGGACCACGAAGTTATAGAACTTCTGCTCCGAGGACTCCAACTCTGGGGCCGGGGGGGCTGAGGACGAGGAGGCTGGGGGAGCCGCGTACGCGGGTGATGGAGAAGGAGGGGGGAAGGGAGAGGGCATCTGGGGGGCCGAGGGAGGAGGTGGGCACAGCTTGCTTTTCTGGGGGGCAGTGTCTTCTACAGAAAGCGGGAGTGATATCCCACTTTCCGTAGCATTGTCAGTGGGCTCCAGGACGCGAGAGGGGAGAGACTGGGGGGGTGAGAGGAGAGATTGGGGTGCCTCAGACACCTTGGTACACTCCTCCGGATAGTGGGCTCTGGATTTCGGAGGTGTTGAGGGGTCAGGAAGGCCAGCAGGACTTGGATCTGGGGCCACCACAGGCAGCTGGGGGGCTGGACTGTGCGGCCGCTCCAGAGGGGGGTCATTGTCCATGGAGGGGGGCCAGCTCACCTGCTCGGGCTCCTGGCAGCCCGTGGGGGCAGGCTCGGGCCTGAGGCTGGCCTGGGGCTCATCACAGAGCTTGCTGGGCCCGGGGGGGCTGTGGGGCTGGGTGAGGAAGACCATGGTGGGTGACTGGCTGATCTCCAGGTTGCTGGCCAGAGAGGCGGGGCTGCCCGTGGACTTCAGGGAACCTGCCCGGCTCCAACCCGAGGGATCCCTGATGGGTTGAGGAAGGCTCCGGGTCCCTGAGCGTGATGCTGAGGGTGGCGGGAGGCCACTCAGACTGGAGCGCAGGGGCTGGAAGCCCCCCGGGTTGCCGACGTCCCACCCACACCGGTCACGGGCCTCTGCCTGGAGTTCCGGCAGCCGGGGGTCGTCCGCGGAGCTGAGGGCCTGGAGGGCAGCTCGGTAGGCGGCCTCCCGCAGTGACGCCGGACACAGTTTCTCCTTGGCCAGCAGGTGGTAGACGCAGGCAACTGTCCAGGATATGTCTGGCGCCTCCTCCGGGGCCTCAGTGATGTCCGCACTGGCCCACTGGCGGGCCACAAACTGGGCCGCTGCATCCGTCCTCAGCATCTCCAGGGCGAGGCGGGCCTCGGTGTCCTGGTCCAGCGTCAAGAGCACCATGGCGCGCAGCAGGCCAGCCCCCCGGCAGCTCGCCTGCAGTGTCCTCAGTTTGTGTTTCAGATGCAAGAGCTTGTCCCGGCCCACCGCGCCTAGGATGCTGAAGGCTCCGGGGAGGGAGGGTTCCGGTTCCCTGCAGGCCATGCGCGCGGCTGGGTGCGGCCTCCGGGGGCGGGAGAAGTGGCCGAGGCATGTTCCGCGCCACCTAACTCCTGCATGCGGGGCGTCCCCTATCCGTTTACTGCATTGGGTACCATGGGGGCTCTCAGAGTGGACCTGGGGGAGGAGGGGACACAGTTACCACCAGAAAGGGGGCAGCCCGCCTGCCCTCCTCCAAATGCCACCACATGCTATCAGGGTGACCTTGGCCAAGACATGTCACCTCCCAGACCTCGGTGTCCTCTTCTGCAAAAAGACAACAGTTAACATTTCCCTTGGATCAATAAGCAACCTCATGATAAATGGAGAAAAGATTGAAGTTGTCAAGGATTTCAGTTTACTTGGCTCCACAATCAACACCCATGGAAGCAGCAGTCAAGAAATCAAATGACGCATTGCATCACGCAAATCTGCTGCGAAAGACCTCTTTCAAGTGTTAAAAAGCAAAGATGTCACTTTAAGGACTAAGGTGTGCCTGGCCCAAGCCATGATGTTTTCAATCACCTCTTATACATGTAAAAGCTGGAGGATGAATAAGGAACACCGAAGAACTGACGCCTTTGAATTGTGTTGGTGAAGAATATTGAACGTATCATGGACTGCCAGAAGAATGAATAAATCTGTCTTGGAAGAAGTACAGCCAGAATGCTCTTTACAAGCAAGGATGACCAGACTCTGTCTCATGTACTTTGAACATGTTATCAGGAGGGACCAGTCCCTGGAGAAGGACATCATGCTTGGTAAGGTAGGGGGTCAGCGAAAAAGAGGAAGACCCTCAATGAGATGGATTGACACAGTGGCTGCAACAATGGGCTCAAGCATAAAATGAATGCGAGGATGGCGCAGGACCAGGCAATGTTTCGTTCTGTTGTACATGGGGTCGCTATGAGTAACCAATTCAACGGCTCCTAACAACCAACATTTACCTGGGAGTCCCTGGGTGGCACAAATGATTAAGCACTTGACTAGTAGCTGAAAGGTTGGTGATACACACCTACCCAGAGGCTCCTCAGAAGACAGGCCTGGCGATCTGCTTCCAAAGCTCACAGCCATTGAAAACCCTATGGGGCAGTTCTACTCTGCACACATGGGGTCGCCATGAGTCAGAACTGACCTGACACAAACTAATGACAGTGGCAATATTACCTTTGCCACCTGTCAGTTTGTTATCTTGTGGTGGCTTTTGTGTTGCTGTGATGCAGGAAGGATATGCTTTGGGTATTTCAAACATCAGCAGGGTCACCCATGGTAGACAGGTTCCAGTGGAGCTTCCAGACTAAGACAGACTAGGAAGAATGGCCTGGCAATCTACTTCCAAAAATCAGCCAATGAAAACTGTATGGAGCACCACGAAACACTGGCTGATACAGGGCTGAAGATGAGCCCCCTAGGGGAAGACCACAGCAGTGGGCTCAAGCAGACCAATGATCGTGAAGATGGTGCGGGACCAGGCCGCGTTCTGTTCTGTTGTACACGGGGTTACCATGAGTCCGAGCCAACTCAACAGCGATGAACAATGACATTTAGCTGGTGCTTACAAAGAGCCAAGCTCTCTCGATATTAACTCATTCAACCCTCACAGCTCCAGTGGGTAGACACTATTATTATCCTCATTTACCGATGGGAAAACTGAGGCACAGAGCTGTCCATTCACTTGCCCAAAGTCACACAGTGAGTGAGGGAGAGAGCTGGGATTCGAACCTAGGCAGTCGGGCTCCAAAGGCGATGTGCCTAACCACAAGGCTACACTGCCTATTAGGATAACAGCAGCCACTTTACAGGCTTGTTGCAGGGAAATGGGTTGTGTTAACATACGGCAAGTGCTGAGCCCGATGGCAAGAAACCAGCAGATGCTCAATACATGTTTGCTAGGGTGTCAGTCAGCCTATCAGATGGCCCCCTAGGGCCCCCCATACCCTGGTAGGACCAAGCTTCATCCAAGTTGGCTTTTAGGTAAATAAGCAAAGGGTCCATTTAACGAGCCCCTGTTTGTGCTCTTAGCTATCTTTCCACGCATGAGTTCATTTAATCCTCACAAAGACCCTGTGGAGTGACAGTGCTATCCCCATTTTACAGATCAGAAAACTGAGCCTCACGGAGATGAAATGCCTCCCCCTGGGACAGTGGTTCTCAACTAGGGCTGATCCTGCCCCTCCAGAGGACACTTGGCGATGTCTGGGGACATCTGTAGTAGTCATGACTGGGGGTAGGGGCCTACTGGCATCGAGTGGGTGGAGACCAGGGATGCTGCTCAATACCCTACAGTGCACAGGATGTTGGCCCCAACTCCAGAGAATGATCCAGCTATGAATGTCCACAGTGTTGAAGTCAAGAAACCCTGCGTTAAATATTTTTTGGAAAAAAAATTGAGTTCAATCCCTACCTCACACCATACACCAGGATAAATTTCCAATGGGTTAGACGGTGTAAACCAGGGGGACCCTCTGGCTCCTGTGATTTCCCTCCTCTCTCCTCCCCACTCAGTTTGTGTATTTAAATGTGTGCTGTGTCCTCCGACGTCAGAAGGTCAGATGCCTATGGGATACAGAGTCTCTTGGGGGTCAGTGGAATGCCCTAACCCAGGGGTCCTCGCCCGGGGATGATTCTGCCCCCAGGGGACACTTGGTGATGTCTGGAGATATTTGTGGTTATCAGACTGGGGTGGGGTGGGGTAGAGGGTGCTACTGGCATCAAGTGGGTGGAGGCCAGGGATGCTGCTCAACACCCTACAGTGCCCAGGACGGCCCCATCCCAGAGAAGGATCCAGCCCCCGTGTCATCAGTGCTGGGGGAAGAGACCCTGGTCTAGACCAAGAGCTGACTCTTTGACCAATCCGCTTTGCTGATAATCAACAGGTCTCATTGCATTACTGACACAGGGTTTTAAACAGATTCCTTCTGAGCAGGTCCACTGGGGCTCCAGAACCATGGTCAGTGGTGCCAGGAAGGTCAGGGTGCAGGGCAGAGCAGAGAGGGTATGGGAGGGCGCCAGAGGCAGGGGGGAGATGTGACTGAGCAGAGGCTGGGTGTTGGCATAGAGAAGGGGGAGCTGGGGTGGGAGTGTAACAAGGCGAGTGGCTGTCTGGCTGTTTTGAAAGCTGGAAGTGGCTTGACACGTTGAAATACTAACATGGGGCAAGATGGGGGTGGAAAGTAGAAAGAGAGAAGTCGATGTTGATGGAGAGGGAGGGGGAATCAATAAAGTAATAACAGTAGTTATTCCTGGACAGTTGTCAAAGTGTGCCCATTCCTCAAAAAGTTAAATACCGAGTCACCGTTGTTGTGGTTGGGTGCCGTGGAGTCTATTTCAACTCATGGCGACCCCCTGCGACGGAGCAGAACTGCCCCATAAGGCTTTCTAGGCTGTGATCTTTACGGGAGCAGATGGCCAGGTCTTTCTCCCGCGGAACCACTGGATGGGTTCAAACCACCAACCTTTCAGTAAGCAGCCAAGTACTTAACCATTGCACCACCAGGCAGGGCTCCTCAGAGTTCTCATACGACCCAGCAACTGTGTTTCTAGGTATAAACCCAAGAGAAATGAAAACAAATACTTGTACAGCGATGTTGACAACGGATGAGTGGATCAACACAGTGTGGTCTACGCACACAAGGGAGTATCATTTGGCCATAAAAAGGAATGAAATTCCGATACACGCTACCACATGGATGAACCTTGACAATCTGATGCTCAGTGAAAGAAGTCAGTGATAAAAGGACAAATGTGGTATGATTCCATTGACGTGAAATGTCCAGAATGGACAAATCCATAGAAGACAGGAAGTAGGTTAGGGGCTGCCTGGGGAAGGGGGAATGGGGAGTGATGGTTAATGGGTACTGGGTTTCTTTTTGGGGTGATGAGAAATGTCCTAGAACTAGACAGTGGCGATGACCACACCATCTCGTGAAATGAACGAAAAACCATTGACTCGTATACTTTAAAATGGTGAATTTTATGGTAAGTGAATTACACCTCAAAAAAAAGAAAAAAACTGAACTGTTGTTTTGTGAATTTCAGTCACTATTATTCACTTTACATGAACTGATCTCCTGTAATCCCTACAAAGGAATGCTGGTGGCACAATGGTTAAGCACTAGGCTGCTAACCGGAAAGCTGGCGCTTCGAACCCGGCCAGCGGTTCCATGCAAGAATGACTTGGCAATCTGCTCCCATATAGATTAAACTCGTTGCTGTTGAGTCAACTCTGACTCAGAGTGACCCACAAAGATTACAGCCTAGGAAACTATGGGGCGGTTCTCCTGTGTCATACGGGGTCACTCTAAGTCAGAACTGACTCAATGGCACCGAATGACAACAATCCCTACATCAGACAGCGTTATAACTGACATTTTACAGATGATGAAACCAAGGCCCACAGAGCGGATGTCATTTGCTCAAAGTCACAGAGCCTGGGGACGTGGACCGAGACTATCTGGAAAGTCTGCGAGCTCTTTCTGCAACCACTGGGGTCTCAGCAGAGCGGGGCTTGGATGGAAGGGTGACGGGGTGAGGGAGCTGGGGTGGGAGGGTACAGTGGGCAAGGAATCTCAGCCAGAGAAAACGGAAACAGCAGGGCCTGGAGACCCCCGTGTGAGTGAACTCCCAGAGACTGGGACAGACACTGCCGGGTAATCCCCCGATACCCGTTCTTTCTTCTTCCTGGTTAATGAAGCCCCTAATTTTTACTGGTCACATGGCCTCCTGAGATACAAACTACAATTCCTAGCCTCCATGCTGCTATGGAGCCCTGGTGGCACAGTGGTTAAGAGCTCAGCCGCTTCTTAGAAATCCTTTGGGGCAGTTCTATGTCTTATAGAGTCACTATGAGTCAGAATCGACTCAACGGCAACAGGTCTATGGGTCTTGCTGCTACAAGGTGACTAAGTTCTGGCCAACGGGATACAAGCAGAATTCTGTGTGCAACTTCCCTTAGAGGGAGGGGTTATGCTCCCTTTCTAATCTCTTTCTGGCTGGGATATGAATGT